AAACAGGAACCTATTCTCACGCTGTGTGCCAAAAAACCAAACCCGAGAGGAGGGGTGAGCAGCAGATAACAGAAACATCTGGAGAGTCTAATGAACTGCAGAGTCAGGTTCTCATCACACACATTACCAAAGATTATATTCTCTCTTGTGTTCATTTAGTAGTAACTATTATTAACATTCCCCCTTTTGAATTCTAATAAGAGTTCAACAATGATATAAAAAGCAGAAAACAAACACAATCATCATCCTTAATTCATTACCACAAAACCCAACAATTTATCAGTTCAACAAAACAACAATAATAATCTATGAAGTTATACAAGTTAATTGATGAAGGAGGACGGGGTAAATGGATATGGGGGGTAAGGGCCAAGACATTGTGCATGGGTCGTTTGGGGACGAGTGAGTGAGAATTATAAGCACGGACGTGAGAAGTAACAGTATAAATCACATCAAACAATTATAAATTGAATTTAAAGGTGTCGAATACAACCTTTGTAAGACAACTGGAGGGTGTGAAATGAAATCCTTATATAGTAACTGAAGGGTGTTAAGTAGAACCCTTGTAAAATAACTGAAGGGTGCTAAATAGAACCCTTGTAAAATAACTGAAGGGTGTTAAGTAGAACCCTTGTAAAATAACTCAAGGGGGTTAAATAGAACCCTTGTAAAATAACTGAAGGGTGCTCTCTTCTTCCCCCTGTCGAGGTCCCTCCACTGGCTCCAGGCAGCTGCAGGGGGTGATAAGGTTACGACTCTCGTCCCGCCGGATGTGGTGGTAGCTTGGCATGCTACTGCGTCCTCCAGAGGTCAGCTACTTCTCGTCCTGGGCCCTGAGGTCCTTCTGGATTTCTGACACCGTCCGTCCTGGCTCGTCCGTGGCCGCGCACTGGGTCCAATGGTACCAAGCGTCTCCTTTGCCCTCCAATCTGACCGCATGTGAGGTCCTCTCGATCACCTTGTAGGGACCGGTCCACCTGGGCTCCGTCCACTTTCATTTGATGACCTTCAGCAGGACCCACTCGACGGCCTGGCACCGAAGGCGATGTATCTGTGGAATGAGGTTGAGTCCCCACCTGCTGAGAGAACTGTGAGACAAGGCTATGCAACAGGTTATAATAAGTTCTGGAGTCCAGGCTTTTGGTGTCACAGTCATTGTCAGTCAGAGGTAATTTGGTACTGAGCCCAGGAAAAGGTCGCCCTGTCTGCAACTCAAAAGGAGTAAATCCCGTAGTTTTGTTAACAGAGCTTCTAATGGACATGAGAGCCAGTGGTAAGGCATCTATCCAAGTCATTTTGGTCTGTGCACAGATTTTAGCCAATTTATTTTTTATCGTCTGGTTCATTCTTTCCACCTTCCCTTGGGACTGTGGGTGGTATACTGTCCCGAACTTATGTTTCAGACCCAACATTGTTTCTACTGCCTGTAGATCTTTGTTTTTGAAGTGGGAACCATTATCAGACCTTATTTTCCCAGGAAACCCATGCTGTGGAATACAATGGTTTATCAGACATTTTACCACCGTTTTGCTGTCTTCCTTTCTGGCAGGCCAAGCTTCCGGCCAGCCAGTGTAGGCATCCACGCAGACCAGCAAATACCTGTAGCCCCTCTCCCTGTTTACCATGTCTGTGTAATCTATGATTACTTCATTTCCAGGACAAGCTGGGATAGGAAATCGTCCTTGCAAAGGTTTCAAGGTGGGTTTTATGCCGTACTGGCAACACTCTGTACATGTTTTGACCAAATATTTTGCCATATCTGCGATGTGAGGATGCCACCAATGAGCTAGATTCTTAACCATTTGGGCCGGTCCCACATGTCCCACCCCGTGGGCCTCTTCCATAGCTGTTTGCCTGATACCTGGGGGTAGGATAGGTCTCCCATCTGGACCTCTCCAGATACCTTGGGCCTTCATCGCCCTCCTTGCCACCCATAGGCTCTTTTCCTGTGGCGACGCTTGTTCTTGTAAGTTGCCTAGGGTTTCTCTTGTCACACGAATTCTGGGATCCTGATCTTTCTTAGGAAGCGGAACCTCAACCACCATGTTGTATATGGGTAGGTATCCTGCTGCCCGTTTGGCTGCTTTATCGGCCTCCTGATTTGCCTGAGACACAAAGTCAGAGCCCTGACTGTGTCCTTTGCATTTGACTACTGCTATCTCTAAGGGGAGTAAGAGAGCTTCTGCCAGATCTTTCATGTCTTGTTCATGTCTAATAGGTTTGTTACTGGCGGTCAGAAATCCAGCTCGCAGCCATTGTTTTAGTTCTACGTGAACCGCCCCTACAGCATATGCTGAATCACTGTAGATGTTAATTCTAAGTCCTGTTCCTAACCTTAGGGCTTCAACGATTGCTTTTACTTCTGCTCTTTGTGCGGACTGCATTCCCACGAGTTCTTCAGCTCTTACTGTTTGCCAACCTGAAGGTGCGTGTTCCACGATAGCCCATGCGGCTTTCAGCCCTTGTTCACTGTCTCGGTGACAACACCCATCAGTAAACCATTGCTTGTCAGGATTTTGTAAGGGTTGTGCTTGTAAATCGGTTCGAACTTTTTCTTCCTCACTAGTTCTTGTTGACAAGAGTGCGGCTCTCCGCCATTCATTTGATCAGCCATGTTGATACCTTCGTGTGTGAAGGAAATATGAAGAGCTTCTAGGATAGTGCTCAGTTTCCTCTGCCTCAATGAGGTCATGGTAAATGTTTGGGATTTCACATTGGCCACCACGCTATGGGATGTTAGTACTTTCAGGGCAGTTTTTTGAAGAATTTTTGCGAGTCCCGCCACGTGTTGGGTGCATGGAGGGTGACGCTTTTCAGTGTTATCCAATAGTATGCTAATATACATTAACACTTGTCTCTGTCCCCCTTTTTTCTGGAACAGGAAACCGTTCATTTATCCTCCTGATCCAGAAACGTCCAAAAAGAAAGGGGAAGAGTAATCTGGGATAGCAAGGTCGCTCGCTGTGGAAAGACGTTGTTTTAATTCAATGAAAGCTTTCTCGGCTTGTTCAGTCCAATTGAGCTTGGCAGATAGTTGACGCATGCCATGCTCTTTGACGAGTGTGCGAAGAGGGGAGGTCAAACCTGCATAGTCCGGCACATAGTTTCTACTGTACTTAGTGAGGCCAAGGAATGAGAGCATTTCTTTCACCGTTACAGGTTTTGGATGGTGCAGAATGGAGTTTCGGTGTTCAGGCGAAAGGGAGACGCCGTTCTGTGAGATCAGGCGACCTAGAAAGGAGACCCGTTTTCTTGCTATTTGGAGTTTAGATTTACTGTCTTTAAATCCTAACGTGGCCAGGTGATGTAGCATAATCTGAGTGGCTTGTAGGCAGGAGGTTGCGGAGGGAGCTTACAGAAGCAAGTCATCTACATACTGGATGAGAATACAATCTGCGGGTAGTGGGCATGTTTCCAGCAAGTTTTTAAGGCATTGGTTAAACAAACCGGGGGACAAGGCGAAACCCTGTGGCAAACGGGTGTAACGCCATTGCTGTCCTCTGAACGTGAATGAAAAGATGTCTCGCAAGGAATCCCGTCCCATTTAAATTTGTGTATGCCTCCTTGATCTTTAGGCAGGAATGGTTTTCTAAGCGCTGGGCCTAACATTTTGAGGGAGGCTGTCAGTGGAACCGAATTCTGGAGGTGCTGGGTGCCTGCATTTTGTTCTAAATCTTCCGCCTGCGATTTTGAGGTGCATCTGGTGATGATTGCTCTGAAATCTCCCAAGGCAAGGTCCTGACCTGTAGTATATCTGTCTAAATCTGCCAGCCATGCATTTCCTCCCTCGTTTATATCAGGGAGTTTATCCACCAAGGCTTGGATATCACCAAAGGAATAGGGCTGATACACCCTTTGACCGTGGGCTTTAGCCTGTATAAGCAGGTTTTGTGTGATGGGGGGGTCACCGGCCCCTGTGAACGCTTCTTTGGGCCACGTCGCCTGAAGGGGGTAGGGGAGAACTGGATTAATTCTTCGTCTTCTGAATGTTCTGACTGCTCATAAACTGACTGCTCACAAAGCTCCGTGTCTGACGGAGTCCGGGTCACATCAGGATTGCGGTTGGGTTGGGAGTCTGGTCTAGGTTGACCCGTCAGGGACATGGTTACCACAACACTTTCATTTTTGGTTGCATCAGATTTAACACTGCCCCTTACTCCTGTTACTATAGTTACGGATCAGGATTCGTTAATGAATGGATTATTGGGCGAAATTTTAGGCTCTCCTTGAGACTCAGAAGGAGTCTGTGTATTGGGTGAAGTCCTAGGCTCACCTTGAGACTCAGAGGGAGCCTGTGAGCAAGGGGTGGATGTCACCTGAGGGCTGGATATAATCCAGGGAGTGACATTAGGACAAGGGGTAGAACCTGCCTGTATTATCCTGCTTAATTCGGACATTAACTGGGCTTGTTCTTCCCGGGCTGCTCTTTGTGAAAAAGGTTGAAATTGGGCAGAGTCTGATGCAGATGGCTCGTCCCCTATCATGGATAGGGAAGAGATGGGGGTACTGGGTCCCTCGGGTTGGTGCACACGGCCTGTTTTGTTTTCCTGTTTATAATCTTCTTCCTGTTCTATAGACATTACACCCCCAGTGATGTTAATTACTGGATAGATGCCAGGCACCGGGGCAGTTGGAGCGGGCTGGGCCGGGGAGTAGGGTGGCGGCATTAATTTGGTCACCTTTTTCTGTTTTTTCATATTAGTTCTGGCTGTATTCCATAACATGACCCACTGCGTGTATTTCCCCCTTCTCTTTGCTTGTTTATCTATCTCATTCTTGTGCTTTCTTCTTAATACTCCTGCCGTCGCTAATAATCCACGCGCTTCCTCCTCCTTTTTTCTTGCCTCTTCTGCTTTGTGCCTCCAAATCATTCCCCAGTTCCCTGAACTGTTCATATCCTTGCCTTTGTTCAATCAATCAATCAAATTTTATTTGTATAGCACCTTCTACAACATTATCCGAAGCCCAAGGTGCTGAACAACATCATTAAAAGAAAAACATTCCCAATACATGGGCATAAAAGCAGGATAAAAACATAAAATCATAAAATAGCAAGCAAACAGCATTACAGATAAGAGATATTGGAATAAGACCAATCGATAAAAAAAAAAAGTCGGACAAAATAAAATCAAGCATCCGGTTTAAAAAGGAGAATAGTTAAAACCATAATGTTAGGGCAATTCAAGTGAACCTAGCGCTGAAACGCAATCAGATAAAAATGAGTCTTTAAACGAGACTTAAAGACTTGAAGGGATGGTGCCTGCCTAATGCTCAGTGGCAATTCGTTCCACAGAGTTGGAGCCAAAATAGAAAAAGCACGACTACCCCTCGATCGAAATTTCGACCGGGGGACCACCAGAAGTTCCTGCTCGGCTGAGCGAAGAGACCGAGATGGAGCATACCTGTTCAAAAGCGCAGTAATGTACGAGGGGGCACTGCCCTGGAGGGCCTTATAAACGAGAGTTAAGATTTTAAACTGAGCTTGATATTTTACCGGGAGCCAGTGCAGAGCATCCAGCACTGGGGTAATGTGCTCTCGACATCTAGTGCCTGTCAGGAACCTAGCCACAGAGTTCTGCACAAACTGTGTTGCGAGTCCCCACATGCCAAAGACAGTGGCAAGTACGGGGTCAAAAGGTGAGCCACACTGGACTGGCTTGTGCGAGCAAAATCAGCCAGCCAACAGGAGCTGTGCTGCAGGTCAAAAAACTGTGGTCAGAAACAAGGGTCACACAAAGGTCAGGAGACTGACCCAACCTCTTTGCCCCACCCCTGGCTTGGAAAGATGGGATTGGAGGAGAACAGAGTGAAGACAAGCCCATCAGATCCAGAAGCCCTCTCGGGAACATTGGAGAGAAACTGAAGAATGTTGCAAAAGATGATGTAATGACCTGTGTTAAGAAGAATGCTGCATGTAGTGAAAATGACACCAAATGTTTTGTGTTGAGCTACAAAGTGTGTATCTGGTAAATGACCCCATGACCTTAAGCTGGCCCAGGAAGGGTATATAAGAACAGCTCTGAACAGCAGAGAGATAGATTCGGAGATTCGACAGCAGCTGGGGCAGGCGACAAGAAGAGACAGAGCAGGCTTGGAGGGGTCATCCCCTGTCCCCCTGGATGGGGGATGACAGGCAGTTTTTTGGAGAGAAGCAGAGCTTAGAGGGAGGACTCTTGGAAGAGGAGATTTGGGAGAGTTTTGGGGAGATTCTGAGAAGACAAGAGCTGGTGTAAACTAACTCTTATTTAATCATTTTGAACTAATTCCTCCTTGGGGGATAGCAGTTGTTTTTTATTTACCCATTTTTGTATTTTGATTTTGTAATAAACCTTTTTTGAAAAAGAAACATAATCCTGATTCTTTCAGGTTTTCTCTAAAGCTTCACGTTTGGAGCCCTGGCCATAAATTGCACAGAGGTAAGCATATTGATGATCGGTCTCTGAATTATCGGGACTTACTTTATAGTTTATAATAGAATAATATAAAGAAACCTTAAGATAAGGGAAGTTTTAACTTCCCCCTCCTTGCGAGTAACGAGTTGTCTTAAGGGCGATAAAAGCAGAATATTCGAGGTTATTTTGGCTCTGATTGCAGGTTGAAAAAGTCTCTAATCAGCTGGAAGGTTGGATAAATAAATAAATTGATAAACTTATGATAGCCTGATCAACTAGCATAAATCATTTTATAGTTACCAACCTCCCACATAAGCTTTTAGAGGCGCAATTAATTCCGGGTAACCCAAACAATTGCTGAGAGGCTTGGCTTGCCTCCAGACTTCTCTCTAGTATCTTAACCAAAAGGTAACGAGTTTAAAAGAAGTGTAGTACTCTGGGGCTGGCTATTCGTGCAAGTCATTTCACCTTTAAAATAAAAGACAAGATTCTAATTAGATGGTCCAAACCAGGATCTAGTACAATTATACTCGCCGACATCCCCTCAAACCCTGATGGATGCACCGTCTCATAAGTTCTAACGGAACTGGGTTTTAAAGGAACCGGTAAATGGGACGGGCACGCGACAACTGGAGCCGTGCAACCGTGCACTGGGCCAGACCAGCATACAGAGCGTTGCAGTAGTCCAGCCGAGACAGGACGAAGGCATGCAACACAGACTCCAGATGAGCTCTGGACAGCAGAGGCCTAATCCTGGATAGTCTTTTCAGGTTAAAGATACATGACCTCACCACTGTATTTACATGAGTGTCAAGATTAAGTGCTGAGTCGATTTTAATCCCCAAATTTGTTCATTAACAACTTCTCCGCTGTCTTTCTTAACAATTTTCTTTGTTCTGTCGCTGTAGCTGGGTCATTGGTGGCATTAAGTACTGTTTCTACACAGGCTAACTGTTATCCCAGAGAGCTCAAAACCTCGTTAGGACCCCACCCATCATCGGTCATTTCTTGATCGATTTCACCCTCCATGTTGTGACTTGGATTTTTGTTGGTGGCAATTTGGACCAGTGAGGTCTCAGCTCCTAGGGAACTCTAATCACTGGTGTTTGTGAGACAGCACTGAAAAACCGTTGTGGTAACTTCCGCTTCTACCTTTCCAGGTGGGAATTTCTTACCTGTGAATCCACAAGGGCATGCTGTATTGTTCTCACTTTAAGGTTAGTACTATACTTTGTTCATAGAGTTAGTTACACATTCATTCATTACCCTCTTATGTGCGGTTTATAATGGTGTACCGCTCATGCAACTATTCCCTACTCTGCTGTTCTTTGTGTATTTTGTATATTTATGTGCTACTTTTAACAGTTACTTGGTACCTTTAAAGGCCCAAAAATGTTGTTTCTAGTTCAAAGAGGCATACACTACTCCCAGAGTTTATTATGCCCCCTTATTGTGTAATCCAAGTTATTCAGTCAGCTCTATCTGTTTTACCGACAGAATTGACTGAAGCTCGGCATTCATACAGATTGTGTTTAACTAAATCATATTCCTCATATACTCGTCTCTTTTAAGGAAAATGTAATTTTGTCAGATCCCAGACCTTAAGTGGAATTTAGGGGTCCCCAGTCCCCAGGGCCTTCAACCCTGCTTAAATATAACCCGGTTATATTTTATCCATCCGTCGATGAATATTTGGTCAGCAAAACCAGAGACTGGAGTCTCGTTAGGTCCCGGACCTTTTTCTATATACCTATGAATTTTCCAACATAAACTTGAGCAAAATTTAGGACCTTAGTTACTAGGAATTCAAGACACAAATGTTTTTGAATAAGTCCAATGAGAAGAATTAAAAGGTCTGCTTACCTTTTTTGAGCCGCGGCTGGTTGTGTCTGGATCCTTTTCACCAGGTGAGAGTCGAATGGTCTCCAATTGCCCCTTTTCTTGGAGGAAAAATCCTGTTCTTGACACCAAGTTGTTGGTCCTGAAAGACCAAGACAGGTTCGGAGCGATTGGAGAAAAAGATGTTTGCTTCTGAGTTGATGTTGGAGTCAAAAAAACAGTCAAAGTAAGATTCACAGCTGCAGAGGGAGAACACACAGCTCTCATGCAAGGTCTACCGTCTTGCTTCAGCAGCTGCCAGAAGTGTTCTGATCTCTCAGTTTGAGACGGCTAGATTTATTCACTCAAGCAGGGAGAGGTCACATGTGTGTACAAGGTTAAGTTTGAACAATCCTCTAAACAGCAGACTTGCAGCCTTGAGATATGGTTAAACAGGATGCGGCCACTATCTCAACAGAAAACAGGAACCTATTCTCACGCTGTGTGCAGAAAAACCATACCCGAGAGGAGGGGTGAGCAGCAGATAACAGGAACATCTGGAGTGTCTAATGAACTGCAGAGTCAGGTTCTCATCACACACATTACCAATGATTATATGTTCTCTTGTGTTCATTTAGTAGTAACTATTATTAACACAGTATGATGTTGCTTGATGTTGCTACCTGGTGTTGTTACTTGATGTTGCAACCTTATGGTGTTCCATGATTTGGTTACTAGATATTTTTTGATGATGTTACCCTTTGTTGTTACTTGATGTTGTTACTTTATGTGGTTATTTGATGTTGTTACTTGATGATGTTACATGGTAGTTTTACTTGATGTTGTTATTTGATGATGTTACCTGCTGCTGTTACTTCATGTTGTTACTTGATGTTGTTATATGATTTATTGTTACTTGATGTTGTTACTTGATGATGTTACCTGATGATTTTACTTGAAGTTTTTACCTGTATTTGTTACCTGATCATGTCACTTGATGTTGTCACATTATGATGTTACTTGATGTTTTTACTTGATGGTGTTACCTGATGTTTTTACCTGATATTGGTACTTGATGTTGCAACTTGATGATGTTACCTGATGTTGGTATTTGATGTTGTTACTTCATTTTTAAACTTGATGTTGTTACTTGATGTTGTTATATGAATTTTTTTTTTTACTTGATGTTAGTACTTGATGATGTTACCTGATGTTTTTACTGGATGTTTTTACCTGTATTTGTCACCTGATCGTGTCACTTGATGCTTTCACTTGATGTTGTCACATTACGATGTTACTTGATGTTTTTACTTGATGGTGTTACCTGATGTTGTTACCTGATATTGTTACTTGATGTTGCAACTTGATGATGTTACCTGATGTTGGTATTTGATGTTTTTTGATGATGTTACCCTTTGTTGTTACCTGATATTGTTACTTGATGTTGCAACTTGATGATGTTATCTGATGTTGGTATTTGATGTTTTTTTTGATTATGTTACCCTTTGTTGTTACTTGATGTTGTTACTTGATTTTTTTACTTGATGTTGTTACTTGCTGTTGTTACTTATTGTGGATATTTGATGCTGTTACTTAATGATGTTTCAAGATTTTGTTACCCAGTGTTACCTGATGTTGTTTTTTGATGTTACTTGATGATGTTACTTGATGATGTTACGTGATGGTGCTACTTGATGTTGTTACTTGATGATGTTACCTGATGTTGCTACTTGATGTTGAGACTTGATAATGTTACATTATTTTGTTACCTGATGTTGTTACTTGATGTTGTTAATTGCTGTTGTTTCTTGATGTTGTCACTTGATGTAGTGACATTAAGTTGTTACTTGATAATACTACTTGATGTTGTTACTTGATGATGTTGCATGATTTAATTACCTGATGTTGGTACTTGATGTTGCAACCTCATGGTGGTCCATGATTTTGTTACTAGATTTTTTTTTGATGATGTTACCCTTCGTTGTTACTTGATATTGTTACTTAATGTTACTTTTTGTGGTTATTTAATGTTGTTACTTTATGATGTTATGCGATGGCTTTACTTGATGTTCTTACTTGATGATGGTATCTGATGTTGTTAACTGATGTTGTTACTTGATGTTGTTATATGATTTATTTTTACTTGATGTTGTTACTTGATGATGCCTGTATTTGTTACCTGATCGTGTCACTTAATCTTGTCACATTATGATGTTCTTTGATGTTTTTACTTGATGGTGTTACCTGACGTTGGTATTTGATGTTTTTTGATGTTGTCACCCTTTGTTATTACTTGATGTTGTTACATGATTTTTTTACTTGATGTTGTTACTTGATGTTGTTACTTAATGTGAATATTTGATGTTGTTACTTAATGATGTTTCATGATTTTGTTACCCAATGTTACCCGATTATGTTACTTGATGTTGTTTTTTGATGTTGTTACTTGATGATGTTACGTGATGGTGCTACTTGATGTTGATACTTGATGATGTTACCTGATGTTGTTAGTTCATGTTGTTACTTGATGATGTTGCATGATTTAATTACCTGATGTTGTTACTTGATGATGTAACTTGATTTTGTTACTTAATTTTGTTACTTGAAGATGTTTCCTGATTTATTTGCTTAATGTTTTTACCTGTTGTTACCTGATCTTGTCACTTAATGTTTTTACTTGATGTTGTGACAGTATGATGTTACTTGATGTTGTTACCTGATGTTGTTACTTGATGTTGCAACCTTATGGTGTTCCATGATTTTGTTACTAGATATTTTTTGATGATGTTACCCTTTGTTGTTACTTGATGTTGTTAATTGATTTTTTACTTGATGTTGTTACTTTATGTTGTTACTTTATGTGGTTTTTTGATGTTGTTACTTGATGTTGTTATTTGATGTTGTTATTTGATGATGTTACCTGATGTTGTTACTTGATGTTGTTATATGATTTATTTTTACTTGATGTTGTTACCTGATGATTTTACTTGATGTTTTTACTTGATGGTGTTACCTGATGTTGGTATTTGATGTTTTTGATGATTTTACCCTTTGTTGTTACTTGATTTTTTTACTCGATGTTGTTACTTAATGTGAATATTTGGTGTTGTTACTTAATGATGTTTCATGATTTTGTTACCCAATGTTACCCAGTTATGTTACTTGATGTTGTTTTTTGATGTTGTTACTTGACGATGTTAAGTGATGGTGCTACTTGATGTTGTTACTTGATGATGTTACCTGATGTTGTTAGTTCATGTTGTTACTTGATGATGTTGCATGATTTAATTACCTGATGTTGTTACTTGATGTTGCAACCTTATGGTGTTCCATGATTTGGTTACTAGTTTTTTTTGAGGATGTTACCCTTTGTTGTTACTTGATGTTGTTACTTGCTTTTTTTACTTGATGTTGTTACTTGATGATGTTACCTGATGATTTTACTTGATGTTTTTACCTGTTTTTGTTACCTGATCGTGTCACTTGAAGTTGTCACATTATGATGTTACTTGATGTTTTTACTTGATGGTGTTACCTGATGTTGTTACTTGATGTTGCAACTTGATGTTGCAACTTGATGTTGTTACCTGATGTTGGTATTTGATGTTGTTACTTGATTTTTAAACTTGATGTTGTTACTTGATGTTGGTACTTTATGTGGTTATTTGATGATGTTGTGTAATTTAATTACCTGATGTTGTTACTTGATGTTGTTGTATGAATTTTTTTTTTACTTGATGTTAGTACTTGATGATGTTACCTGATGTTTTTACTGGATGTTTTTACTTGTATTTTGTCACCTGATCGTGTCACTTGATGTTTTCACTTGATGTTGTCACATTATGATGTTACTTGATGTTTGTACTTGATGGTGTTACCTGATGTTGTTACCTGATATTGTTACTTGATGTTGCAACTTGATGATGTTACCTGATGTTGGTATTTGATGTTTTTGATGATGTTACCCTTTGTTGTTACTTGATTTTTGTACTTGATGTTGTTACTTGCTGTTGTTACTTATTGTGGATATTTGATGTTGTTAATGGTGTTTCAAGATTTTGTTACCCAATGTTACCTGATGTTGTTTTTTTGATGTTGTTACTTGATGATGTTACGTGATGGTGCTACTTGATGTTGTTACTTGATGATGTTACCTGATGTTGTTACTTGATGTTGCAACTTGATAATATTACATCATTTTGTTACCTGATGTTGTTAATTGCTGTTATTACCTGATGTTGCCACTTGATGTTGTTTCTTGATGTTGTCACTTGATGTAGTGACATTAAGTTGTTACTTGGTCATACTACTTGATGTTGTTACTTGATGATGTTGCATGATTTAATTGCCTGATGTTGTTACTTGATGTTGCAACCTTATGGTGGTCCATAATTTTGTT